CTGAGGAAGCACCATGTTCAGATAGACAGCCCTGGGCGGGTGGAACCATGCTGTCAGTCACAGCACAGACCTGCAGTCCACGTGCCACAGCAGCCCACTACATGGACACTACATTGACCATTTACTGTCCCAAGGCTGGTTCTGGTTCTGTTCTTGGACAAAACGATTGCTGAAGGAGGAATGCAGCTTGTTTAAGCCATTAGTAAAATATGAGTAGAAGGTAGCGAAATGTGAGGGTTGTTTTAGGTTGTGTTTCTGATTTCCTTTATGCATGTTCAAGTAACTTACAAAATCTGGCCATTTACATTTTAGCGGTGCCTAAACTTGCCCAACAGTGAGGAAATGATGAGAGGTTTAGATTAGCACTTTGTGGTCACCCAAAATTTATGTTGCTTTATCTAATGCCTAATTACATTACTATTTAATAGAATTAGAACTATACAGGGAATCGGGAAAAAAAACTGAGGCTAACACAGTTTTTATTTATAATTTTATTTCTTCTTTTTTCATTTTTTATAGATAGATGCTTTAACAACTCCAACTGACTAATTATGTTCATACATTGCATTTTTGTGTAGGAAGCTTGTAACCACTGTAACAGTGTTCTTTTTATCTTGAGTCTCTTTTTTCCTGAGTCTTCATGCTGGGAATGAGACTTGTAGTTGTGGAATACGTGCTATTTAGATTAAAGAATACTCAATAAATGGTGCTATGTGTTGGGCTCAAATTGAACTAGAAAAGAAATAAGATAATACCATTTGGGACAGTCATCAAGCATCGGCAACACATGAATAAAGAAAGGTTAGCAAATCATTTATTTGATGATTCAGACAAAATATTAAAATATTTATATAAATACAAGAATAGGCTGATTTAGGAAATTATTCATATCTTCTCCATGTGAATGTTAGATTTGAAGACAGGCAGATAAAGTAGATCATGGTTCATCATGACACAGGGTACTCATTAGTCTGTGTTGATTTCAGCTAGAGTAGATATTGATTGGAGGGGATTCTTGATCAGACTTTCTAAAACATGCAGTTCAATATTTGCACTTTGAATCACATCATCTGAAGATTTGTTCTCTTAACTATATTTTCTCTACATGTTACTCTGCTCAGATTTAATTTAAAAAAAAAAATTTAAAGCCTCCCAATGGGTGAGTATTGCAGTTGAACTTGGTTTCGTAAAGTCGTAACTGAAGTTGTATCACCACCACTAAGACTGAATGTTGGTTCAACATTATTTTGGCTTTTTTTTTTTTCCTTTTTGTCTTTTTTCGTGACTGGCAACGGATCGCAACCCTCAGTGTCGCGCCTGTACTGGACCGGGACCGGCAACGGGATCGCAACCCTCGGTGTTGCACCCGCACCTCGCTCAGCCAGTGAGCGGGAACCGGTCTGTATGTGGGATCCGAACCCTCGGCGGGAGTGCTGCCGCACTTCCCAAGTGGCGCACTGTAGCAGTGCGCCACTGGGCCAGCCCTTATTTTGGCTTTTTGAAGAAGGCATGTAAGCTAAATATATTTCTGGAATCAAATGAAAGCTTCTAGCATTGGTAGGAGCAACCACTGAATAAATTTCTAATTACTTGTTTTAACAGTGGTAGACTTAAAATTCTACAGAAATGACCATTTGGAAGCTGTCATAGATTGGCAGATCATCAAACAAAAACCATTCTTATTAATTTTGGTTATGTTAAATTCATCTCCTCCCAATAGTTGGAGGTTATCTGAGCAAATAATAGAACTAGTGTAGAAAAAAATACACTCTTTCCCTTTACTCCATATACCTGATCAATAATTAACTTCCAGAGGCTTCTCAGTCATTGTTACTACTTGAGATTTTCAAAGTATAATATGAAATGAAAAGAACACCATTTTAAGTACCAAGTAATATGATAGACACTGTGGAAACTTTAGCATGAAGACTTACAAACCCCCATCCTAGTGATCTTATGGCAAGACCATGTTGTTTATTTCTCAGAACTAAATTGTTTAGCAAAATACATAGGAAAGCACTATATAGGAACTCATCCTATAGAGACAAAGGTAGAAAATGAGCAATCTTTTTATCTGCCTTAAAAGTTTTTTTTAAAAAAGATGATATTATGATCCAAATGTCTCAAGAAACCTTACTAAGTACCATGAAAGTAGCATTTTCTCTAATTTTTCATGAAGTGTACTGTTTCAAAAGTTTACATTCATCTTTCAGTTATACTAAAAAAGAAATTAATTGTATTAGGGTTTTTAAATCATGTCTTTCAATCTGATAAGCCTGAGGATATTTTTAGTGAGTGGCCTTAAAACCACTCCTCGTCCCAAAAGGGTTTGTATTGCCCCTCTCCCACCTCTTCTGGAGTTATAAACAGTGGGTGAATGAACATGAGTGGAGAAAAGTAAAGATATTTGCAGATTATAAGTAAATATTTGACATCTTCAACTTCCTGGATGTGTATGTATCTTCCTTTTTCTGAGCACTTTTACTAAAAGTCTACTCACTATCTCCTGGCCCACCACATTTCAACTCTGTCAACTTGGTCTAAAGACTTCAATAAAAATTTAATCTTCTCTAAGATAAGATTGGAGACAAGTGTCTAGAAGTTTGATTCTAGGATCTTAGTGTGATTTCCATGAGTTTAGATCTATAGAAATTAGATCATTCTATATAGCACATAACCGGTATGATCAATGGTTGCCACATTAAAGTAAGATAGGAATTATATCTAAGTATTATTGATCACTTACAATATGAAAGGGACTATTCTAAGCAATTTTCATATATTATCTCATTTTAATTCTCAGAACAACTCAGTTATATACGTACTATTATCTGTATTTTATAGATGAGAAAACTGAATGTATTAGTCAGTTCTCTGTTGCTTGTAATAGAATACCTGAACAGGTTAATTTGTAAGAAAATAAAATTTATTTCTTACAGTTTTGAAGGCTGAGAAGTTCACAGTCCAAGGGGTGCATATGTTGAGGGCCTTCTTCTTGGTAGGGTCTCTGTATGGAGTTCCACGGCAGCCAGGGTATCACAAGGCGAGAATGGCAAGAGGACTTGTTAAGGTGCTCACTTGCTCTCCTTAAAAAGCCATCAGTCCACTCTGTGAGAACCCATTAAACCATTAACTCATTGCTCCATAAAAGAATAAACCATTCATAAGGGCACAGTCCTCACAACCTAATCACCTCTTAAAGGCTCCGCCTTTCAATACTGCTGTAGTCTGATTTCCCACCTTCATAACACTGTTACAGTGGGGCTCGAGCTTCAGTGAGTTTGGGGGAACATTCAGTCTATAGCACTGAAGCACAGAGAGCTAATAAAGGAGTCCAAGTTCACATAGACACCAAGTAGCAGAAGTGGGATTTCAACCAGATAGCCTGTTAATACAGCATGTATTATTAACCACTGACATATTACTTCCTGAGATACTATGATATTTTTAAATTAACTTATAGCCTTCCAAATAATTTCTGATTGATAGGATGTTATTCAGGAAAAGCCAAGTAGCAGAAGTGGGATTTCAACCAGATAGCCTGTTAATACAGCATGTATTATTAACCACGGACATATTACTTCCTGAGATACTATGATATTTTTAAATTAACTTATAGCCTTCCAAATAATTTCTGATTGATAGGATGTTATTCAGGAAAAGAATTTCTGTTCTTATGAGGATTCCAAGCATGAAATAAAATGCTGATAACATTACTTTTCCATTTACTTTTTCCAAAGCCACGCAAGCTCACTAGAACAGGGCTTAAACTGGGATTTTAAATGTATTTAATTGTTTTGTTTTGTTGTAAAATATGTTTGATTATATTTACCTGATTCCTAATTATTAAAGTTCTTGTCAATATCTTCATCTAGCCTCAACCTCAGGGACATTGATGGATTTTCTGATGAATTATTATAAATTACATCATGCAATATAAATGCAAATTATTAACCTACTTTAGATATGATACTGTATGTTTAATACATAGTGATACTGATTTTTAAAATGATTTAAGTTCTTTTTCTCCAGCTTTATTGAGATGTAATTGACAAATAAAAATTGTATATATTTACAGTGTACAATGTGATGATTTGACATACATATACATTGAGAAATAATTACTGAAATCAAGCTGATTAAGATATATGGTATTTGTATGTGTGGTGAGAACACTTAAAAATCTATTTTCTCATCAAATTTCAATTACAATACAGTATTTCTAGCTGTAGTCACCATGCTGTATATAAATGATTTAATTTCTGTTTTTATATTTATTAATGAAATTTATTCTAGACCTTTAAAGGAATAACATTTTTATTCTGTCATTAACGTTATTTAGACTGCGAAAATTTTAAATTGCGACTCAGTCCTAAAGGACTCGCTTTAGCTTTAATTTGGGAGAAATAGTGTCATCTTACCTTCTTGATTTCATGTGTCAAAATCTTTCAAAATGTATAAATCTGTAAAGATGACATCTTTTTTTTTTTTTTTTTTTTTTTCCTTTTTTCGTGTCCGGCAATGGATCGCAACCCTCAGTGTCGTGCCCGTACCGGACCGGGACCGGCAACGGGATCGCAACCCTTGGTGTTGCGCCCGCACCTCGCTCAGCCAGTGAGCGGCCGGTCTGTATGTGGGATCCGAACCCTCAGCGGGAGCGCCACCACGCTCCCAAGCGGCGCACTGTAGCAGTGCGCCACCGGGCCGGCCCAGAAGACATCTTTAATATACTCTGGGCAACGGTGAATTGGAGCCCTGCTAAAAATACAAGATGTCCGAGAGCCTAATCGGCATGTTCAATTTCATTGACAAAAAGAGTTCTGTGTACATGGGAATATGATTTTCAGATTTTTTAGAATCAACTTCTTCACAGGGTGAGACTCTATTTTAAAACGACAACAGGTGAAAAGCACGTAATTCTACATCCATTATTAAAATGCTGTTGTTTTATAGGTGAGGAAATGCTGAAAGTTGATTTTTTTCCATTTTTGTTTTTATAGATGTTCGAAGAAGAACAATTTATGAATACCACCGAGTAGAGCTACAAATGTCAAAAATCACCAACATTTCAGCTGTGGAGATGACCCCATTACCTAGTACGTTAGTATATGAACATAGGTAGAAAAAGTGATTTGCAAGTGTGATGATCTGATCTGTTCAATAATTATAGTTACAATAATTGTGTTAATTATGTAATTATAATTGTGCTTAGCATGCATGGATATTTTGATCCTGAGTGTATATGCAGATAGATGGTGATTTTTATTTTGGTTGAAAAATCTTTGTTTTCCCCCACACTGCCTATTAGCCTTGATGAATGTATTCTCTCCTGTTTCTTAGCATGTCTCCAGTTTAATGGTTGTGGTCCCTGTGTGTCCTCTCAGATTGGCTTCAACTGCAGTTGGTGTAGTAAACTTCAAAGGTAAAAAATAATAATAAAACAAATTTTAAAATTTTAAGAAGACTTGTTGCCTGTACATTCTCATTGAATTTTAAATGTATGTCAAGTGTATGGTACATATGTATAAAATATACATGAGGGGTCTTCAAAAAGTTCTTGGAAAGATATGTATTATCTAATTCTATCTTTTCACAAACTTTATAAGTACCCTTATATCATTACCAAAATAAAAAAAAAAAAAAAAAAAAAAAAGCTCAAAAGTGGGGATTTGGGTATTTGTTTTGTCTGAGTGCTCAAAATTACTAAGAACCTTTATACTCAATGAGATCATTATCAGACATACATTTATAATTCTCTATGGGGTTTAAGATACATGATCATTGTAGTTGAGTCTATGAATTGATAATTTTGGTCCATATTCTGTAGAAAGCATGGTTGGAGCTACCTTTTCCATAGCAAGGACGGATTATAATAATCACATGCACACTCTTAGTAAATTCCTATACAATACCTCAAATGTTATTAGTCTGAATTAGAGAAATAATCTGAGGCTGACACCACCTGACCCCTATGTAAATAGAGCACGTGGTTCTGGCCCCAGGTTGTAACTAAGCAATTTAAGCTGCATAACTTACTGGTGTCAAAGAGATTTACTGATTTTCATGAGTGGCAAAGAAGATTCTTCAGTCCCTAGACTGTTTCGGAGACTGAGTGATCATTTGTTGGAAATATGGGGTGAGACATTTTTTAAAATGTGTTTTGTTACTTATGCAACCATTTTATGCATCAGTTATGTCCCAAGTGCTGGAAACACAACCGTGAGCAATACCAACATGGTCCCTGCCACCCACCCCCTACCCCCACCATGGAGCTGACAGTCTGTCTAGGAACAAGTCCTCTCCCCGCCTTTAGAGTCTATGAAAAATCTGCTGCTTCTCCCAGGTGGAGAGCCGAATATTCATGCTGTTAATGAATATTACACCAGGGCTTTCAGTTGTACAAGTAATCTGTCTTATCATCTTCTTACTGTAGCATTTGCTGTAATGATAAAGGCATGTTCAGGAATGCTTCAAAAGTTACTGAAGGACAAAAAATAGAATGCCAATTCTTTGATAAACAAGCCTTAGGAAACATTTTTAACTCACTAACATAGTATTGTGGCTAGAACAGTATTATTTATGATAACCTCTGTTTTGTTTTCGATTTAACGTGTTGCTCCAGTAATTTCCTTTGTGAAATGAATTTCAAATCATGAAAAAGCAAGCAGGCAGTTAGCATTTTTAAAAGTAGATTTTAACTCAGCTGCAGATCCAGAGTGGGAGGAACTGGTATAAAATCAAGGGATTGTGGTTATTTATATAAATATTTTGCTAGGATTCCATAAAGATTATGTGCATATCAGAAGTTACTCAAAATCTGTTAGATAAGGACGAAAGGGAACTAAAGAGGTGACATTTTAATATGTACATTTAAGTAATACTCAAAAGAAGTAAGTAGAGGACCCTGGTTTGGGTTGCATACCTACTGCAAGATCCGGTTCAGCGGGCACCTCCTCTGAGTCTGTGTGAACTGCCCATCCCCCACGTTTCCCCACATGCTGGGTAAACCTCCCTCATTAGCATTTAGCATAAGGCTTGAGAACACTTACTCATTTGTTTGTCCCCTTTGCTAAGCTCTACGTTTGTTAAAGGCAAAAGCCATATCCAATTTGTCCTTATATCTCCATGGCCTAAGAACATACCTGGAACTGCAGAAAAAATGGAGAAACTAATGAACCATGATTAGGTTCCAAATGAATGAATCATGGTTAGGTTTGTCTGGGACTGAAGAGTTTCCAAGGATGAGGGACTTTCATTGCTAAACCAGAAACATCTAAGGAAAACTGAGACCAGTTGACCACCCTAGCCAGAGTTCCATTAGGATAATTCTCAACTGAAATCATGTTATGGTAAATGAAGATTTTGGAGACTCGTCTAGAAACTAAACTACCACTAACCATTTCATTATAAATGAATGTGTGTGTATGCATTTTGGTTTTGCTGGAAATATATGCTTAAATTTTCAAACAAGCAATTTTGCCAGTCAAAACATATCCATAAGTTGGAATCTGCTTCTACTGTTAACAACCTTCATTTTATTGAAAGATTTCTCTGCCAGAAATTGTTCCCCAAAATTTTCAAATATCACACAACATTTTTACTGCAGAGGAAACTGAGGTTTATAGGAGCTAAGTCATTTGTGCAGGATTTCACAGCTCTTAAGTTATAAGTTTGTTCTCAATATCTCACCTGTTCAGCCTCACACCTGCCAGGTTGCCAGTACAGGAGGCAAGCTAATCTTCATCGCTTTCTGGAAAACTGTATACGTATTAATGAAAAACAAATCTTTTTATAGTTGATGCTATAAGAAAATTAAATGGTTTTGAAATTGGCATAAGAAGAATGTAGAGAAAAGTCTACCGAAGCCTAAGACTTTTGCATATTATTAGAAGCATAGTTTCTTTAAGATTAATGAAGAAAACAGGTGATACGTATAAATGAGGAAGAAACTCATCAAAGAACTCTACTTTAAAAACTACCGGTTTTCTGCATGTTACTCTTTGGTGTACCAAACTGTGATTTGAAATTTTGGATTTAAATTTTTGGGGGATTTAAAACGTTGATTTAGGGGCCGGCCCAGTGGCGCACTGCTACAGTGCGCCGCTTGGGAGCGCAGTGGCGCTCTCGCTGAGGGTTCGGATCCCACATACAGACCGGTTCCCGCTCACTGGCTGAGCGAGGGGCGGGCGCAGCACCAAGGGTTGCGATCCCGTTGCCGGTCCCGGTCCGGTACGGGCGCGACACTGAGGGTTGCGGTCCGTTGCCGGACACGAAAAAAGACAAAAAGGAAAAAAATAAAAATAAAACGCTGATTTAAAATGTTATTTTTAATTCTTCAGCAACTCGATTATATATGTATGAAAACCTGTTTAACTAATTGATTTAACTATGGCTCGTTGCACTTTTGTTCAAGTTAATTTCCCCACTGCATTTTATTAATTTTTCCCCAGACCTGTGAGCTTCCAAACTTCGCTTTGCTGCCCAGCAGCATCTCCCCAGACATTAGAGCTTTTACGAACAAATTCAACAAAACAAGAGAAGTCTTATCCTAAGCAGCACGAGAATTGCCTCTCTGATTTTTTTTCTCTGTCATTCTTACTTTCTCCTTTGTGCTTATTTATCCTCGAATGATAATCAGTTGGTGGTAATTACTGAGCTCCCAAGTTGGGCTTGCTCTAAAAAGATAAGATAACTTTAATTGATTTGTTTATTTCCTTTAATTCCCATTTTTCAGGGAGCAAAACTAAGATGAAATATTTGTAATAGCTTGGCCAAGGTCTAGGAGAATTCAAGTTACAGGAATATATAAGGAGATTCAGGATGGAAAGTATTTATTTAAAATACTTGGCCCATTTCTTCTACGTAAGAGTGCTTTGGTTTCCTCACTGCAAATTGAGGAATTCAATTCACCTATACTTTATACCTTCACTCATTCAAGAAAAAATTTCTGAGTGTCTCTTTTCAAGCTACTGTCTAAAATTTTTACATTCAGTGGTGATAAAAGAGAGACAAAAATCACTTCCTTAATAGAGCTTACATTTTTAGTATGGAGAGATAGATTTTAAGCAAATAGATACATAGGAAATAGAGTTTGTAGTGATGAGTGCAACGGTAAGAGAAATAAACAGAAATGTTGAGGGAAATATAGGAAAATTGATGAGAATAACAGGAGTTTACTTGTTAGTATCATTTTTAAGCAACCTTGCCCTTTTGAAGAGACACTGATTTGGTCAGCCATCACATCTAAAAGTTTGTTTTTTTTAATCAAAAATGTCTTTGGGCTCTTAAAATATTTAGTCACTCATCCATTTACTTAACAATGTATTAAGTACTTTCCACGTATCAAGTGCTGATGTAAACTTTGAGATAGTTGAGAAAAATAATCAAGTATTATTTAAAACCACAGCTCTCATAATGCTTGTAGTTTAGCTTAGTAAGCCAGAAAATAAAGGAATTGGTAATTAAAGAGAAAAGTCAGATGGTGATGAGTGGTCTGCTGACTTTTAAAGAGCCAGTAGTTTCTTTGCACTCTTAGCCAAGAAACACTTCTCAGACCTGGTAAGAATTAAACTGAGATCAGAGTGATAAGGAGCCAGTTATACCAAAGTGAAAGCAAAGAGCATTTCAAAGGTTATGACAAGTGCAAAAATCCTGTGGTAGGTACAGGCTTGATCTGATGAGGAAAGGAAATAAGCCCAGTGAGTTGGGAGCACTGTGAGCCGGGCAAGCAGGAAGAGTGGTACCAGATGAAGTCACATGGGTAGCCACATGCTGGGACATGGGTGGCTTTGTAAGGCAGGAAGGGTTTTATTCTCAGGATGATGGGAAGCCTTTTAGATTTTAGAACTTAAGCAGAGGAGTGATATGATTTTATTATATTTTTAAAATGTAACTCTGGCTGTACCAAGGAGAATAAGTTAGTTGGTTAGTTTGTTTGTTTTTGGAAGGGGGTGAGCAGAATGAAAAGGAAGAGAATAGTAAGGAGTGTGTGTAGTAGTCTACAGGAAGGATGGTCATAGCGTGGACAGGATGATAATTATGGGGATCTGGAGAAATGAATGAATACACAGTATGTTTTGGAAGATGACAGATTACTTCCTAATGGGTTAGAAGTGAAGGAAAAGGGAAAGATAAGAATCAAAGATGCTTTTTAGCTTTTTATTCCATCCATGTGGTGGATTGTAGTACTAAGTTTTTGAGAGAGGTAAAATGGCATAAGAAACAGAAACTAGAGTAGTGAGAAATAAAGAATTTAGTTTGGGACAAGTTAAGTCTGAGATGTCCATCAGACTTCAAGTGGAAACGTCGAGTATGCAGGGACACATAAGCCAGTTTATGTATAGGTCCTGGCTAGAGGTTCAGATTGGAGAGTCATTACCATATAGATAGTGTTTAAATTCATGGGATTGAGTGAGATCAGCT